TGTGCAAGGAGCTTGTTGAGCCATCCCCCGCAGACTCTGCAGAAAAAGGAGACAACATGTTTCGGGTATTTCGGGTGCCGTTGCAGTCTCGGAGCTTGTATCGGCTGAGGCAACCAACCACTCAGTGAGCAAGAGGTGGACGAACTCATGATGTTTGCCGACATTGTGCAACGCTTAGTGAACAACAAGACCGACCGCACAGGACTTTCTCTCCCATTTGCCGCGTCGAACACACGGGTTCCATTTCGAAGACGACTGGCACCACGGTCGGTTTGGTTCGTCGAAGCTTTCTCGGCCAAGGAGGGAGATGGCCTTATCGAGTACAAAGGCTTTTTGCGATGGCTCAGCAACCCAGATGCCGTACAATAGAGGCGGGTGCAAGGTGAACCTTTGTCACTGGAAGCATCATGAAGCCTTGCGTTTTCATCAGTGGATCCTTGTCTCAGAGAGGCTCAGTTTCTTTTTGAGGCACGAGCTTCTGTGTGTAAAGTTTAAAGGTGAAGGAACGGTTCTTTTCCTCGAAGATCGCAACAGACTCATCCTTAATCCCAAATCACTTCTTGACATGTTCCATATTGTATATTATGATATAATATTATAACACACAGTGTTACAGGTGTTCAACTTGCGTGGGCAGAAATTACTGACCGTCTTCGGCTGTGGCAGGCTGAAGTGCTGAAGTAGTCGTGTCACCAGGTTGAGGTTCTATGAGCTCATCAAAGTGCTGAGCCTGGAAACTCAACAGATTGTACACATGTTTTGCACGGGTCATGTTCATCAACCTTCTCAGCAAGGGCGCCAAACCTTGCTGGTGTCCGACGTTCGAAGAGGTGGCGGATCCCTCGAAACTGGTAAACTCGACTCCGGTCCACACCGAATGCGAGAACCACATATATACTACAGAAAGGGATGCAAAGGGGGAGACAGGACTTGCAGATCTGACGGTTCTTTTTTTGGATATCACGGCCTGTGGATTTCCATCTTTTTTTGGCCGCCCGTATGTTGATGCACCCCCTTTTGGCGGCGGACTCTGCAAGAGGCAGAGCGCCCGACTGCCTGCGCAGGGACGCAGTCTTGCGCAGGGTCCCCCGCTGTACTGAGACTCGCATCCATCGACCACAAGGATTTCACCAGTTGCAGGGTTCTGAGATGCAGGTCCAGGCCTTTTTTGGTTTCAAACACGCTGGAGGTGCATGCAGGAGGGAAGTAGTACACACCTACCATCCGGAATTGGCGAAGTGGGCTGCCTCCAGGTAGGGAAACCATGAAGAATATGTTTGAAGTGGGAGAACATTCGCCTGCCTCCCATTTGTTCTCTATTTACTTTTGACCTGATGGATGAGCTTTTTTGTAGCCTGATGAGCTGATTGTGTCAGCTCCAGACTCCATTGTCCAGAGTGTCAGTTGCGGTGCAAGTGCAAGGCTCCAGAAAACCGTGGTTTCGGTGCAGACGAAAGGCTGCAGCGCGAAAAAGCCAGCTAAAGAGGGTTTATGGGCGCTTCTACTCGTGGCGGAAGGAGATCCTTTTTTCCCACCAAAAACTGTAATTCTCCTCTGCCAGGGTGTCTAGAGGTATTCAAAGCCTTGTCCAAAATCCAGTTGACAAAGGTTCGAAGGGGGGCTCAATCCACTTCAGAATGCCCATGGCAGCGAAAAGCAGATCCAATGGAGAGGTTTGCGAGGAGACATGTTCTCTTTGTCAGACTCCAGAAAGACCAAACAGGGGACGACTTTCAGGGGCTTAGCAGTTTTCCGAACGGAACGGATCAGTGTTCCTCGTGCGTTTTCCTCATCGTGACTCGTGCGACCAACCAGTTCTACACACGAGCCTCTACTCCGTCGAGTCACGGTCGATCGATCCGTAGACAACAGTGGGTGCCTATCCGGTGACATATCGAGGGGATACCTACCAGCACCCGAACAGGGCCAGGCGTACGTGGGATATGAGGGTTTGGGTGTTGGACCCTGGTCGAAGCGGTCGAACCAGACAGGTGACCTGGCAGGTTTCGGGTCCTGGTAGTCTTAGTTTTCGCAAGCTTTATCCTTTTAGATACCTGGCACCGATGAAAAGCGGACCTCTTCTCGTTGAAGCAGCGGCTTCCCAGACTCGGCCGAGAAGCGGGTTCCAGGTCCGAAGGGTTAGATGCAGTCTGCGAAAAGCGAAAGCAGCTCAAGGTTTAGCTTGAAGAGTACCGAGGTTTCAGAGGTGAGAAAGGACACTGGCCACCCACCCAAAGAGGATGTTTATGGGGGGGGTCCATACAAACCACCTTTTGGGGGCTGTGCCATCTACTCCGAAATCACTGTAGAAAAGAGCTCCTGTCTTTAGAATTTCGGGATTGGCACATTGCTGAATCTAGGTAGATCCAGCTTTTTACGGATAGGATAGGCCGCATGCCTTGCTTGCGGTGTTGTGGCTCCAGTCACACATCCTTAGCCTTGGACTATGCATGAGCCGATGAATGCCAATTCAGATGCCCTAATCTTCTTCGCAAATGGAACTGCAACCGCATGCACCAAGTACGGGAGGAGTCGAGGACCGTACGCAGAACACTCAACAGCCAGGAACCTCGTCTTTTCCGCTAATCAGCTACAGACAGACTTGTAGGCTGCGCTTGGTCCTTTCGACAAGGGCCTCTTTTTTGTGGCCTTGACTTCAAAGAGGTACTGCGCACGACAGGACGCATGAGGCCTTGCTTCTTCATGGACGCATCAAGAAGCACTTTGACAGGATCTAAACAGGGTCAGGGGTGTGATCCAATCAATCGCCCCTGACCGAGTCCCCGAGTGGACGCAGTCCCACACAGCGCAGCCGCCCGCGCGCCCACCCGCCACGCGGGCTCCGGAATGAGACCGCCATGAGTTGCACGCTCTGCTTTAGCTTTGGCGCCGCGGCCTCTTCGGCGATCATCTCAGCGTGCTGAGCTGAGGGGCTGAGTGAGTAGCGCATGGGATGGGTCGGATGGGTCTTCTGATGAAGCCAAGACCTAGGCAGGAGGAGTTCCATAGAGTCGGGTGCTTTGGCTCGACCCATCTGGTGAGTGGATGTGACAAACCAGATGTGAGCACCCAATTTCTTGGAACTGGAAGACGTTGAAGCGATTAGAAAGCTCGGAGAGTTGGAGTGACCTTTTGGTGCATTTCGCTTCGCTCGTGTCTGCTGTAGACAGACACGACACCGGCGGTGTACATCTGATGAAGGAATCAAACCCGTCTCGACGTGTGACGTGAGGTGGTTGCTTAACACCATTCATTCCATATGAACCTCGTGAAACTCGAAAAACGGCTTGAACTACTGAGGTGGTTGCTTTTCCTGATGCTTCCCTTCTACCTCTTCGCGGTCATCCCGACGCCTTAGTTAGGAGTCCTCACGAAAACCCACGAGACGGGCGAGACTGGTGTCGCTGCAGGTCGCTGCAGGTCTCAGGTTGGCCCGACATCCCTCAGAGGAGACCTCCATCCCTTTGGTAGTCCAACTGATTTCCTCCTCCCGCTGATCCGCTGGCCCCCTTCACCCCCTTCACCTTCAAGGGTCCTTCACCTTGGATGAGCTGCCACTTCGCATGGATGTGGTCCGATGCGAATGTGTCGATCCATCAAAAACGCTGCCAGATCATCTTCCTGATGACCTTGATGACCTCCTTTCTGGGCTTGTACCTCCCGTATCGCTGCACCAGGCCCGTATCATCGACCTGGATTTGGTTCTCTTTGGTATCCTTTGGTATCCTTTGGTAAAGACCAGTACATCAATTCAATGGTTGGCCAGGAATCCTAGGGTGTAGGCTGCTGTGAGGTCTGACACTTGAGGAGCTGATTTGTGATTGCAAATCGCAGCGCTCTGAATGTGCGGACGTGCGAAACACCACCGCGGCGGGCGCTGACGGCTGTCGTCGAGCTGACGGCAAGGCAGCGCGAGTGGCTGGTGATGCCGACCACGAATCTGGCGTGGGCCACGCTCCTGTCTGTGCTGGCGGAATCCTCAGAGGTTGAGGGCAGGAAGGCCATCGAGATGTCTCACCTCAAAAACCTCTGGGCCAGTATCCCCAAACCTGGGTGATAGACCTCACCCAACGGACGAATGGAGGTCAACGGCGACCCCCTAAAAAAAAGAGATGTTTGCAGGGCTGAGTTGCGATTTGCGATTTGCGATTGGGCGGACTCGCGGCGGACTGGCAGACCTGGGGGGCTGGAGCCGAGCAGGTCGACTCGGACCGAGACCAGAGTGCTGCCATCGGGCTTCAAAGCGGCATCGTTTTCCGGAACCCAGGGACCTGTAGCCCCCACGAAGAAGGGCTTCCAAGGCTCCCACGAAAAGGGGTTTCAGCTAGGAAGGAACACCGCCCCAGACCGACGCAGCAAGCCAGCGAAGCTTCCCTGCTCTGTGTTCGACCAGGTGAATGGCTCCATCATGGCAATCGAGTATGCCTTGGACCAGGCGTGCCCGGTTGACCTGTGGGGTCCGCGGTTCGCGACCAGTGCAACGCGGAAAAAAGATGAAAAAAGACAATAAGTTAATAAGTCCTCAGTCAAGCCTAAAGCCCTGTCTGGAAAAGACAGGCTGTGTGGCGCACCCGGCTCTTTTTGGGTAGTTTGGGTGAAGAAGCCATAGGCCACCGGTGTCAGAAAGAGCATCATGTTCCAACGAGAGAAGTGGTGGAGGTGAAGCTCAGGATCCAGATGCCAAATTTACGCAAGGCTGAGAAATCAGAACAACTCAGAGACTTCCAAAACCGTCCCCTTCTCAAAGGGGCCAATGTCAGAGTTTCTTTCTTTGCACTTGCTTCTCCCAACGAAGCATCGCCTCTCGTCGCCAATCCTTCAACCTTCTCCCTCTTCTGTCTAGGGGTCAGTATAGTCGCCGTGGCCGGTCCTGCGGGTTGCAAGGTGCCCAAGTGGAGCGATCTCAGCCGTTTTTTGGGACTCCACGGACTCGCTCCCAGGCGGTGTACACCTTGATCGGCGCGGTGGACCACTTCGTTCGCTTAGCCGTGGCAATGACCGGCTTGGCGATGGCCGGGGACTCTCCGGCTGCGAGCGGTTTGGGGCAGGGAAAGCCTGGGTTTTTGGGAGCTCAAGATTCAAGGCTCTATAAAAGTAACGTTTCTGACTAGGTGACCCCGAACTGCAACCCTTTACTTCAATTGGGCCAACCTATACTCGTTAGACTTTCAGCTCTCCCTTGTCAACGTTTGGTGGATGGACCAAGAGAGGACCTGGGTGCCGTTCAAGTCAGTGGGGAGCGGTTCCGTACGACAAAGGAAGAGGCTACCTGCTGAACTCCGACTTCAAGCTTGACACTTCAACTTTTTGCTGCCGCATACAATGGGTCACCTCTTTGTTAAGATCTGCTGGGGAGAAAAACCTCCTTTCTTTGGTTCCAGTTCTCAGCCCGTCCGGCCGCCACAGGGCTTCAGCATGCAGATCTTCCTGGTGCATTACATCCATGCGCAGGAGGCCGGTCCCTCCCCCAACGTCCGGACCCGGTCCGGACCCCTGGACCCGACCTCCGTCCGGGTCCGGGGGCCCCGGACTCCGGTTTCACAGACCGGATCTTCAAATCCATATCTTGCCGGGTTGGGACCTGGAACGGAGTGTGAATGGAGCTGTCTGGGTAGTGAACCGAACAGCTTGCGGCGCCGCCCTCGCCACGTCGACGTCCGTTCCTCTCAGGGGGCATCCTTGCGACGTTGGAGACGCGTGGCCCGGAAGTCTCGGACCGGAAACGCTGCGGTTGGACCTGCGGTTGCACTGGTTTGACTTCGATTCACAGAATCTGAAGTATCAATTGTTTTGTCTCAGAGGTTTCATTGCAATCATGGGTTTGTTGATTTTCGTTGGAAAGCGATAGGGGACGGCCAAAAAGCGATAGAGTTTAAACACATAAACATGTCACTTGCTTGGATGTGTGGAGCTGACTTGCTTCGAAGCCACTGCCACTTGGCTTCAAAGCAAGCAGCAATCCGGGCAAGCTCGGTGGCACGTTTCTTGGTGTCATGTTTTCCTCTTTGGCGCCATGTGTATTCTCTACAAATACCTCGCAAGCGACAAGCGATGGGGGAACGATCCCCTCGACTTTCAAGTCCACCTTCCAGGACCCGAAAACCTTCCAGGACCCGAAAACCTGCCAGGACCCGAAAACCTTCCAGGACCCAAAAACCTTCCAGGACCCGAAAACCTTCCAGGACCCGAAACCTGCCAGGTCACCAGTCTGCTTCGACCGCACAACCCTCAGGGTCCTTCCCACCCAACCCTCATATTCCCACGTACGCCTCGCCGTACGCCCGAACTTCGGGTGCCGGTGGTGTTTTTTCGCTCGGACCGCGAGCCACCTGGCGCGATCCTCGTGTCCTTCGGCGCCTGAGGTCTGGACCAAGATGGCGGGCGTGCCGAACGCGCAGCTGGTGGAATGTAACGATCTGGCTTCTTGGACCGAAACGAAGAGAAACACCCCGTCATCCCGTTGGGCCCGTTTGGCTTCCGTTCGACCATTTAGAAAACATGGTTGGCCTGGTTTTGTAGTGTACCCTTTAGTAAAACAAGGGTTGTTTGGGATGAGCCCGGCTATTTACTTCATGGTTGTTGGAAGCCAAACGGGCATGACATGACTCATTCATGACGAAATCCCCACCCGGGGCATGATGACTTCCAGGTGGGGAACACATTTTCTTTATGAGTCGGAAACGGAACGGTCGCCTTGCCAAAACAAACACACGGCAGACCGTGAAACCGAAGACGTTCGGGTGGCAGGTTCTAAGACCGGAAGACTCGGTGAGTTCGAAAAAGCGGTGGTGTTTCATGTGGTTCGAGCTCCGAGGAGCCACTGGATCTGGCCATCAAATGTCCGGTTTTCATCATGGGGTGTGAAGGCGGCGGATTTCTCTTTTTTCAGGACACACCCATTCAGTTTGCGGGGGCCATTGATTGTTGGGGTCTTGCTTACACCGGACCGGTGTGGATTCTCTTCACGGAAAGGGGCGTCGGGTCCGACCCCTGCCATGGAGGGCCCGTATAAATCTTATTATAGGGCTATAACCTCTAAAATTCCCCCTACAGATTAGTGCTACCTGGGTACTCCCGAGCACATAGGGCTTATAGCTTATAGGGCTATAAAGCAAAAAACATCCAAAGCCATGCCTAGAGATCTGAACCTCGTAGATCCGACTCATCCGACTGTCGAAATCGATCGACCCGCTGACAGTGCGGAGTAGAGGATTGGACGACGATTGGACGAAACGACACCCAACATCAGAGATCTGAATTAGGAACAAACCAACTGTTTCACTAAGTTTTTTTCACTACAAAACCAGGTCAAGCTTGGAATTGTGGCTGGTGGGAGCTGGTGGGAGGTTTGGATGGTTTAGTTTTGGGTGTGGCTTTCCTCCTCTGTGGTCATGTGTGGGCAGGGTCAAACTACGACCCCAGGTCGGGAGTCGGCCATTTGTTCGTTCGACCTTCGACTTAAGATAGGTTATAATAAGTTATAATACCCACCTACAGAGGGTAAGTGACCTTATAGGACCCTACAGGGGTACCTATAGGATAGTCTATAGGGTTCTTCAACCTCTGCTGGCATCTCTTAATCCGTTTCTGCCGTCTCAGGGGTTTAGGGTATTTCCATTGTGTCCATTTTGCTTTCACGCTTGCAGGGAGATTGCGCAAGATTGACGGGACAAGATTTCAATGTGGACAGTTCTTTGTTACTTTATCAAGCCCAGCGGATGTGGTGGGTACATTGATTTATTTATGTACAACTGCTGAGAACCCATTGCCATGATAACACTGATTTTGGACCATCAACCACCCCAACTATGGCCTTTTCCTCCCAAAACCGAGGTCAGATGGGCTGTAGGTGTTTCAAACACACTTTAGCTGACTAGATGTTTGTAGGCACAAAAAGGTGTCCAGATAAGATGGAATGCGGAAAAAACATCCACTGTTACTGGTGCTGGGATAGGCCCTATACCAATGCATGTAATTGCCAGATTCATTCGGTTTCAATGACTAGCACCCGACGCCTCCTTTTTAGCCGCACCCCAAGGCAGCGGCGTGCCCTGGTGACTGTGCCATTTGCCTGGGCCCCAATGATCATTCTACTCGTAATATGAGTGGTTGAACTGGATTTGAACAAATGATGTTAGTTCAAGTGTAAGTGTGCAAGTCAAGTTGTTATAGCTGTATAGCTGTATAGCTGTGCTCAGCTCTGAACATCACCAAGGTAGACTGTTGAGTCCTTTGACTTGGACTGTTTTACTCTTACGATTGGGCTAAAAATGGTCGATTTTGCCCCAGGGCGTAACTTTTGCCAACCAAAACAATATCCCACACTTGATTTTAATTTGCAAGTATATAAAGCAATTTGTTCTTCTTGGGTACTTAGCTAGATTCCAATGCACACTGGGATAGAGGGTTTTCCCGCCAGAACTATGTGACCAGCATGCCTCAGGCTTGGAACCTTTGGTTGCTCTTCCGGAGCTGCAGCTCTCGGTGGAAGTGGGTGTGGTTCAAGAAAACTCAATGTTGAGAGCAGAGAACCTATGGATTTCTTACAGGCGTTCATGCTTCCACCCTGTTCGCATATGGTTTAAATGATCCGTCCCTGTTGGTCTGTGATGGACCAGGTCCCCGCCCTGCTCTAAGAAGAAATGGATGAATTTGATGCGAATCCCAAGCTTAGACGGAGGTTCCAAGCTTAGCCTGGCGACGAACAAATTCCAAAAGAAGGCCGTTTGTACCAGCACCTGACTCTACAGGTCTCTTCTGGTGACAATTGCAGACTTAAAAGACCTGTTGGAGGGTGGCACTTGTGTGAAAGGGAGATTGTCCAAAAACAAAGACACATGGGGGTTACCCACCAACAGGAAGAACATCGTCTACCTCGATGGTCGACCGAAGCGTTTTCTTTGGCTTTTTGAATGGTTTTGATCCACCTGAATGAGTGGAACACTTCCACCGACTGGGTGTTGATTTGGATCAAATCCACTCCTTCTACACGGTTTTTGAGGGGAGCACGTGGTTTTCGCATCTCCTTCGAGCGGTTTGAAACCGCATATATTCTTCTGCAAAACATGTCGACAGTTGAATTCAAGAACATATGATATCCTTTTTCCCGAATGCGTAGCGAAGGGTTCCCGTTTATAGTTGGGGGTCTGGGGGTTGGAGCTGTGTTTGCATGGCTTGCGTCGTGTCGTCGTCTCTCGTCGTCTGTCGTCGTCGTGTCGTCGTCGTCGCGTCTCAAATTTGCTGCCATTGGGGGAAGCTTTTGCAAGTGACTTTTCATGGATGTGTCACGTGTCAGTTTGCGCCGCTATTCCATTGTGATTTGCATGACACCGACATGTCGCGCAAGAAACGTGATGCATTTCGCTGCACAGGCGCAGCGTTTTGTGAGATCCGCAGTTTGCTGCGCAGCGCCATTGGGATTAGCGTTTGGAGAGTCGTGTTTTTGGGGTGTTGGATGTGGCCGTGCCATTGGGATTTGCGTTTCAGGGTGTGGCATCGAAGCTCGGTTTTCGTGACACGTCTCAGCTGAAATGGCGATTTTGGATGATTTTGGATGATTTTGGTGGATGGGAGTGTGCTCTGAACGGGTCGAAATCATTCCAAACGTGTGGTGTGGTGCAAATCTTGTTGAAGCTCACTGTGGATGGGGAAAGATTCGTGGCAGGCGCAGGGAATCGTGAGGTTGTGAGTTGTGGTAGAGGTGAATGTCGCTGTCACATTGGGATTGGCGCGTGAGCGGATGTTGTTTGACCCGCAAGAGTGTCCTACAAGAGTGTCCTACAAGAGTGTCGTGTAAGAGTGTCCCACAAGAGTGTCCTGCAAGTGACCCACAAGAGTGTCCCACAA